GTGGGGGGGTGGGGGAGGGGATGGCGGGGGCACTGTGCTTATGGCAGTGGGGGACACGGACAGTCCTCATGCACCTCAGAGCCCAGCTTAACTGGGGAGGAAGACACAGTTGAGGCGACGTCACCACAAGGTGGGGCGAGAAGACCCCTCTGTGGAGGTGATGGGGCCGCGTGGAGGCTCGTGTGACCCAGGCTGGGGCACAGAAGACCTGGGAGGGGCATTCTGGGGGGAGGATGCTGCAGGGTAGAGGTCCTGACACCCAGGAAAGGACGTTTGGGGCAAGGGCGCAGTGGGACAGAGGCCCTGGGCCCCGGGAGAGGGCGACGCTGGCGGAGGGAACCGAGGGACAGAGGCCCACTCTCCCTGCACTCTGGTAGTTCTGCACTCACTGTACCCACTCCACTCGCTGCCCCAGCGCCCTGTGCCCTGCCTTAGTGCTGCTGACTGGGAGTGGGTGTCTGTTCATCCACCCCAGGACTGTGATGCTGACAGCATTCCTCAGTGTAAGAGGATGGCATGCCTGGGTGCCACCCCAGGGCCTGAGGGGACACTGTGTTCTCCTTGGCCCCATTCCTGGATTTAGGTGATGCAGGAACATCTGCCCAGGGTGTCACCTCTCACTGCTCGTTAGACCCCCTGTTACTACAGGACAGCCAGAGGTTGTTTCTACATGGTGCGGAGTTCTTCAAGGCTATGTGTTTTGCAAGATGTGTTGTGAGCGCCTCTTTTTATTTTATTTTATTTTATTTTTTTAAGTTGGATTCTTGCTCTGTGGCCTAGGCTGGAGTGCAGTGGCACAATCACAGCTTACCGCAGCCTCGACCTCCTGGGCTCAGGCGACCCTTCCACCTCAACCTCCCAAACAGCTGGGACCATAGGTGCACACCACCATGCCCAGCTAGTTTATTGAGATTTTGTAGAGATGAGGCCCTGTGTTGCCCAGGCTTGTCTCAAATTCCTGGGCTCAAGCAGTCCTCCCACCTCGGTCTCCCAAAGTGCTTGGATTACAGGCATGAGTCACCATGCCCAGCCAACATGTGCCTTTTCAGGGCTGTTTCCCACGTGTGAGACTGGGAACTCGGGGTGCGGAGTTGGTTGGGCCTTGGTTCAAGCCCCAGCTCTGCTACCTCCTAACTTTGTGATCTCCTGGGGTTACTTAATCTCCCTGAGCCTTGACATCCTAATCTGTAAAATGGGGTTGTGACAGTCCCTGCTTCAAAAAATTTAGGTGGATTAAATGAGATAATGCATTTAATGCTCAGCTCTGCATGCTGCTGGCCTGTGGTCACAACGCTGACTCTCAAGACCACCGGCCAATGGTATGGACGCTCAGTGCCCTGACAGCAGTGACAGAGCCCTCGAGAGTGTGGCTGGGTAGGGGCCTCCGAGGTGTGCTCTGCAGATTATGGCTGGGGCTCAGGGTGCAGCCGTGGCTCTTTGGATTAAGGTAGTGGCTTCGAGGGTTTCCTCCCCTGCGCATATGTGGGAAAGGCCTTGAGTGCAAAGCAAGCAGGAAGAGCCCGGGCAGCTTTGCACTGTCCCTAGAGCGAGTGGCAGCCCACACTCCTGTCGCTAACCCTGTGTTCTTCTCCCCTAGTGCTCCTGCGGGAAGAAGTGTCCCGGCTCCAGGAGGAAGTCCACCTCCTCCGGCAGATGAAGGAGATGCTGGCCAAGGACCTGGAGGAGTCACAGGGCGGCAAGTCCTCCGAGGTCCTCTCGGCCACCGAGCTCCGGGTGCAGCTGGCCCAGAAGGAGCAGGAACTGGCTAGAGCCAAGGAGGCTTTGCAGGGTGAGTGACCATCGGCTGCCATTCTCCCACCTGGGGCTCAGGTCGGGCCCAGAGACCCAGGGTCCTCCCTGTGCAGGGGAGCGGCATGATGGACACGGGGTCTCCCAGCGCCCACCCCAGCCCTGGCTGCCCTATCCCTCCTTTGGGGGTGGCTGTTCCTTGCCCAGTGTGACCTCCGTGTGTTGCCGATCATGGCTGGACAGGGGTGCCTTGCTCTGGGTGTGAATGGCAGGTGGGTGTCCTCACTGGGTCAGGATGCTGACCCGGCAGCTGGGTCTCTTTCCAGCACTTGGGGCCCATCGCTGCCTCCCCTCATGGGTCAGGGTGGACGTGCTGGTTTCTCTGCTGGAGGACACGTGTCCTGCGTCTCACTCCTGCTCGTGGTGGTGGGCTCTCCTGGGCACTGGGGGAGGAGTTGGAAGACAACATGTGTAGGTGTCCGGAGGTCCCTTGACGAGAAGGACCAGGGACCTGTAATCATCACCTGGCCGGTGTGTCTTCAGCCAGAAGTTGGCTTAGGAGACGAGGAAGCCAAGGGGCCGCATGCTCAGCCTGACTTCGCCGGAGCCAGGACCCAGCAGCCCCCACATCCCTCTTCCTGGAGGCTCATGGCTCCACCCTGCAGGGCTGGAGGAAGCGTCTCATAGGTTGTCTGAGAAAGGTCGGAAACCATTGTCTCACCTGTCCCTGGCTCCACAGTGCTGAAAACTCAGGCATAAAACACCTGAGAAGATCACCTTTTGGGGTCTGCAGTGATCTCTTGAGCCCCTTAGTGTCTTTGCTTTTTCTGGGGGGAAAAAGGCAAGGAAACTTAGCAACTTGCTTTCTACTTGCCATTTACTAGAACAGTGAATACTCCTTTAAAATATCACTTCTGCAGTCAAAGCGGGCTAAGTCGTTGAGTTGATAGCATGCTGCTGTGCCAGAGGGACCCAGGGCAGACAGAAGGTAGAATCTGTTTCTCCTTCAGCCATCCCTGGGGAGCCTTTGAGACTGGTGAGTGTTTGTGTTCCCATCAGTCCACCAGAGATCCAGAGGGATTCTGGGAAATGTAGTTTCCATCTTCCTGGTTTTGTCCCACTACTGCTTAACGGGGAAGGGGAGAATGGTTTTGCTGGACAGTCAGAGCAGGTCCCCTGACCAGTGGTGTCATGGGCAGCAGGCTGAGCAGGCTGAGTGTCCTTTGCCCAACTGACAGTCCCCCAGGGAGCCTGGGCTGTCCTTGGTGAGGGGGCACCTGTCCCTGGGGTGTCCAGCACTCGACAAGAGCTCTTTTCAGCAGTACATGTTGCCATCCAAGTGCAGCTGACCCAGAAGGAGCAGGAGCTGGCCAGGCAGGTTGGTCCAAGGCAGGGCCAACCCTCATGTGCTGGAGTTTCGTTTCTGTGGTTCACGGTGACAGTGTTTTGGGTGGCCTTTTCAAGCTGTAGTGACATTGGGGTACACTGTGGTCCTGCTGACCTTGCACACGTGGGAAGTCACGCATGCTTGGACTCCGCACAGCCGCCCCACAATCCAGGCAGATCCGGGGGATCCACCCCTGTGCCCACCTCCCCAGGGGGCTCACAGCACCCCCTCCCACTCTCAGGACAGAGACCCAAGTCTCGGGAGAATGTGCTGCTGGGCCCAGACTGTGCCAGCCTTTGGTCCTGCTAAGCTTTAGGATCCGGCAGAGTCGGGACTGGCACCAGAAGCCACCAGATGTCACCTCAGCTCCCGTCCCAGTGTGTGTGCCCAGGATGGGGAAACCTGCCCTCTGTCCTCCGCCAGGGACAGGATTTTCAATCCACTTGCCTTCTGGTTCTGTGGGGAGAGAACCGCCCTCAGCTGTTCCCAGGTCCTGAGGGATGGGCTGGCAAGGGGGCAGAGGCTCCTTTACCCACCACTCCCCTGCTCCTTTGATGGGCAGCTGCCCTCTCTGAGCCTCCACTTCTGATCTGAGTGATGGGAAAGTGGTGGTGGTTTTGCAGGAGGCTGTGAGAATTAAACGGGGCAATGTCTGGGGAGGTGGTAGGCAGCCCCTGCCATCACCACAGTGTACCCCCTTCTCCCCTTAGACCACAGGGCATGGGGCTGTCTCGTTGCTTCCTTCTGACTCTGCTGACTGACCTCACCCAGGGACTGCCCGGTGAGATGCTGCTTTTGTAGGAACAATAATACCAGCAATGAGGACTTGTCAGTATTTGTTATAGGGCAGCTTTGTTGAGTGCCATTCACCTCAGTCCTGCTAGGAGCTACTGGGGAGACTCAGGGGGTTGAGGAACTTGGCCAAGGTGACAGCTGGTCAGCAGCAGAGGCAGAGACTTTTTCACGGCACTGACACGCCACATCCTCCCTCCAGGTGTGTGCCCTGGGAATGAAGTTGGCCTGAGTGTGAGACAAGAGGCTGTTGTAACCTCAGCAGTGAGATGGCTGACTCAAGTCAGATCTGGGCTCAAATCCAGCAGCAATACATATTGCTCTCCAAGGCAGGGGGGTGACCCTCTTCTACCGGTTTTTGTTTCTGGTGGGGTCATGAGGACAGTGTTATGGGTGGCCTTTTCAAGCTGTAGTGACATTGGGGTGCACTGTGGCCCTACTGGCCTTGCATGTATGAGAAGTGATTTTGCCAAGCACACACACTGATTAACTGCGTGACCTTAAGAAAGTTACTTAACCTCTGTGAAACATACATGGTTCCTTAGTTGTGTGGTTGAGTATAATAATAATACCTTTTTGTCTCATAAGTGGGACACCATGCACACACACACACACACACACACACACACACGCACACACCACACATATGGTTGTTGTGAGAATTAAATGATATATACAGTACTTGTATCATTAGGGCAAATGCTGAGTGATTATTGGAATATGGGAGGGGCTTGGCAGACCTCCTCGAATCTGCTTGACCGTCTGATTTCCCTGACGGGGGACCCAGATCTAAGACACCCCCACGCCCCAAGCCCAGGCTCCAGGTCACGGCATTCCTGAAAGGCAGTCAGGTGGTATCTTCAGCTGCCCCAGCCCCTGCTGGAATTCTCCAAAGTTGCAAGTAAGACGCTTCCCCACCAGCCGCAGCACGTATGAGTAACTGCAGACAGATGTGGACAGAAGGGGCCAGGACAAGGAGGAGCTCTATGCCCATCAGGAGGAGGGTGAGATCCACGCAGAGGCACAGCTGGCAACAGATGCCGGTGACACCTGTAGACGATCCATGTCCCCACGGAGTGGGGAAAGCAAAGCCCTCATGACTTCCACTCTGCAGATACCCCCCACCTCCCCCCTTCCATGGACCTCCCCCCACCCATCCCCACTTTACTGATTTCTCCCTCCCTCTACTTTGTGGATCTCCCCTCCCACCCACACTCCACTCCACATGTGTCCCCACCCCCACTCCACAGAGTCCCCCTTGACCTCCACCCCCACAGCCCAGTCTTTGGGTTTAGGTGAGACCCAGATTTTCCAGCCTGTGAGAGTGTGGAGTGATGAAAAGAACCCAGTTTGGGGGAAATGAGGGTTTAGAAGATTCCTTTGTTTCTTTGGAATGAGTGTGGGAATGTTTGGTTTGGGGTTTTGGTCTATTGTGACTTAAAGGTGGAAGCCTGAAAGATGAAGGGAGAATGGAGAATGGCGTGGCAACCCTGAGACCCTCGGGGCTGTCTCCTGGCCTCCTCAGGCTGCTCTGTTCCCTGCCTCCCCAAGAACCAGGGTGTGTAGACACAGTGATCATGACAACTCACTTCTTCCTGTTTAAATCTCTTAGCAGCATGGCCAGGATGTCCACATGTTCCCACAACAATAAATACTCTCTGAAAACATAATTTTTAATAATTACGTGATGTTCTACCAAATGGAGGAGCCATAATTTATTTAACCATTTCCCTGTTATTAGACACTTACATTCTTTCCATTTTCCTCTCTTTTTTGTTCTCATTATAAACACTGTAATAATAAAGAACTGTGTATGTAAATCTGTTTATTTTCTTAGGACAGCACTTCTTAAACCTTTTATACTTTACACTTGTACAAGATTGAGACTTCCAAAGAACTTTTGCTTATAGAGTTTAGATCTACTGGTAGCTACCAGTTTTGAAATTTAAACCAGAAAAAATATTTAAATCTTCAATAATTTATTTTAAAATAACAATCGTAAACCCATTACATGTTAACATAAATGAAATCTTTTAAAAATGAAAAGTAACTGTTTCCCCAAGCAAAGAGAATTGAGTGAAAGAAGCAGCATTCTTTTTGTTTTTATTTTTTAACATTTTTGTAAAACTCATTGATGTCTGGCTTCATAGCAAAGTTCTGAATTCTCATCTCTGCTCCTTCAGTCTATTGTGATTTGGTGTTTGGGTTGAAAATCCAGATATGTAGTTGGGAAAGGAAGGAACGTGTGAATTGCTTTATAAGGTAATTGTAGATATTCTTACTTGATACCATGCAAAAACTCACTAGTGGAGTTTCTTGAAAGTTTGTTGCAGTGTGGCATCTGAAATCTTATCCACTAAAGTCTTTGTATTCTGCTCTATTAAAATCCACTGGTCTAATTTTCACTTAGGAATTGGGTACTTTATTCGCTATGATTTTTTCAATTATAAATTGATATAAAAAGACACATGAGGCCAGGCGTTGGAGGGTGAGGCAGGAGGATGACTTGAGGCCAAGAATTCCCAGCACTTTGGAGGGTGAGGCAGGAGGATCACTTGAGGCCAGGAGTTCAAGTCCATCCTGGACAACAGAGTGACACCCCATCTCTACAAAATATTTAAAAATTAGCGTGACTAGGTAGATTGCACCTGTAGTCCCAGCTACTCAGGAGACTGAGACAGGAGGACCACTTGAGACCAGACGGTCGAGGCTGTAGTGAGCCAAGGTCACACCACTGCACCCCAGATGGAACAACAGAGCGAGAATCTTTTTTAAAAAGTCATGTGTGTTAACATCACATACGTATTGAGAAGCTGTTAAAGTCATGGTGGCAGATCTTGTTTGCTGAAATTCTAATTTTT